GTCATTTTGTTTTCTGCAAAGAAAAGAGTTTGTTAGCTTATTATTTGAAAAAGAACTAAGTTTAAAGGACGAACGACCTAAAAATTGAAAGGAAAACCTACTTGGTTCCCGAAATTTATAGACATCGTCATACTTAAAGAAAAAATATTTAGTCTCGTAAGCCCCCACATTTCTGGGGTAACCAAATATTTCTCCCTCGATTGTTGATCGTTTGAAGAGGTAGTACGAGTCCTTATCTTTACTCTTCTTTAAGATGTAAGTGCAAGCGAGCTCCAACACCGTTAGCTCCCCGAGTTCATGGTCACCGAACGATATATACATAGCAATAGCTATCACATATGCGTTCGGTGTCAGTTGGAATGGTATGACTTAGAAGTGGTTAAGGATCGACCTGATGTAAGGGTGGAGAGGTAATCTCACTCCGCATTTGAAGATGGCTTTCGAGATCGTAGCCATTCCCTCGAGAGGCTATTGGGCAGTGTACGGCCTCTTTTGGTACACGTCCACGTCGATCGCATACTGCTCCAGTGCACTTTGGATTTTGTTCATAGTGATGGTGGATCGTATCACATTTTCGGGACCTGTCGACGTGCCCAGTGGATGTAAGCTCCCCTCGCTAGCTGTTTTAATCTCGAGAATCTTTGTTCCCCTTAAAGTCTGTAAAGGATTGCTTTAAGAGTTTTTGAAAATCCTAAAAACTCTTAAAGCAATCCTCTAGGACTCTATACCCTAAGTTTTGAACCTTCAAGTGTCTCTTTCGAACACTACCCAGAAATGCTCCTTGTCTAAGCCTACCAAATACCCTTGACCACCATGACTGTACAAAAGAAGTTTTTGTAAGAGTGGAAAAAAGAGAAAAAGGAAGAAATTTCTTTACCTCCTGTTGCTTGGAATGGGCGCTCTATCATACCATGGGGTTCGCAAGAACTAGTGGAGGAAGAACAATTTTTTTTTAGAGTAGGAAAACGATGTTTTCTCTCTAAAGAATTCGAGTTTTCTAAAAACTTAGGGCAAAGTTAGAGTTTTATAGGGTGGAAGATGACGCTACAGCTCATTTTATAAGTGACGTTTGGACGGGAATGCGTTCTCAACCGTAGATTGCGACCACGTGTCATCAATCCACACAAAGAGTAACTCCCACGCTTCGTGAAAACCAACTGGCGCTTTTCTTTATTGAAAATGCCAATTTTTGGCTTAATTATCTCCTCCACATTAAATGCGCCTTCATCTGCATTTAATGCACTAAAAGAGAGCTTGCATTTAATGCACTAAAAGAGAGCTTGCATTTAATGCTCATGGTTGACACTTATTGTGCGTAGAGACACGTCTGTCAGATAAAGTTTACTTTATTGATTGAGCCAGCTGTCAAGCGCAACAAATAACATCTAAAGAGGTCGTTCAAAAAAGGCATTTATTCAACACGTCGAACTCGAACACCAAACAAGATGATTCAGATTTTTCAACAGCAAAATATTCTAAGTGTTTTCAGGTTGTGAAAGACAGTTAGAGTTCAAAACACATCCCGATGACTCGAGACAAGATCAAGCTTAGGTTGGTAGATCTCAGCAAACGATCACTTCAGGTCCCTTGTGTTACTCCCAAGACATAGCTCATGACCTACATTCAATTCACTAGTCCAATCAAGACAATACTTCAGAGGTCAAATTGAACAGACAACTTCAAGTCGTCTACAACGATATGATTACACTCAGCTCTCAACTCGAGCAAGCATTTTTGGAGACAAGTCAAGTCCCGACATAATCATGAAGTTCTCGAAATCCAATTCCTTGAATATGAAGAACTGGGAACCTTTTGTTATGCCTAAAAAATTAGGGCTGATGTAAGCTTATATCAGCAAGCACCAATCAGAGTTCAGGAAGACTTTGCGCTGCCTAGGATCTACCGCGTTGCCCTAAGATAGGGAGAATATGGCTATCACCAACTCAGCATGCTCAAGTTTTGTCTATGAATGAAAGAGGTCCCCACACCTGTCCAAGCCCCATATAATTTAAGGATATTTCCTAAGTTATCAGCCAATGCGACGCAAGGAAGGACTTGCACGACACCTATCCACTTGCAGATTTGTAATCATTACTTTGAACTCAACGGCTATAAATAGAGGACTCCCCTTCATAAAATCGGGATCTCTGATTTTCATAAAAACAAATTACAAAGACAACCCACGAGAAAGAGACTGGCTTAATACTCTCTCTGAATACCAAGCATTTGTAGTTCTGTTCGCTGTTCGCGACCTCTTGTAACTTGGCTTGTAACCAACAACGCTTATATAAAAAGAAAACAGTGGATGTAGGAATCGCTTTAAGCATCCGAACCACTATAAAATTCTCATTGTCTCATTTATTATTACGTATTTGCATACTACTGTAACCTTATCCTAACTCTTAAATTAATCACGCGTAACTTCTATAATCTGCTTAGAATTTTGCACGTGCGAGGTTGTTGGTGTCAAAATCAAGCATCAACATTGTGAATTCAAGCTATCGCTAATACCATTTAAAAATTTATACACTTGGATCCAAAATTTGGCCTCAGTACGTAACAAGTATTCATGATTTGGATTTTTTTATTTTAATTTTCATTGCTAAAAGTGTTAATGGTTGGTTTTAAAATTTCAATTTTGAATCTTCTATGAATTGTTTTCAGATGCGATCTCATTTAATTGGATCGGATTTTTATTGGATTGTTAGATCTAATTTGTTTATTGTTTTGATCTTAGATTTGGTTATCTTTGTGAAGAAACTTGCAATTGTCTAATTGTGGTTTGTATGTGTATGATAATTTGTTAATTGGATTTGGATGTTGCATTGATGGGTGATTCGATTTGGATGGTTTTTAATTGGGATTTTTTGCATAACTTATATAATTTGAAAAAACTAATGCACTGTAGCTTTAAAGTTAGAGCGAATATCCAGATCAATTGGACCTTATTCAATCTTAGAAGAAACGTTACCTAATGGTTTGTTTGAGGTAATTTGTTTTTATTTGATGCTGGAGTAATAGTTTTGGTTTTTACATTGATTGTTGGCCTGAAAAATTATGGTTTTAACTCTAAGGGGTTAGCTTGGTGGTCAAGAAGGTTTGTTCTCTTGGGTTCAAACCACCTTAAGCACTTACCATATTTGTGGTTTATTTGGAATATTGTACTTGTAGGGTGTTTAATGAGCCTCAATGATTAGTTGAAGTGCACGTAAACTAGTCCAAAAACCTCTGTTATTAAAAAAAAAAAAAAAAGGGGGGTCAATTTGGGATCCAATTTGAGATTTTCCTTGCGAGGTATTGGAGAGGAACTGGAATGAAATAATATCAATTCATGTCAATCATCATTAAAAAAAAAAAAAAAAAAAAAAAAAAAAAGCCCCAGTTAATTGATGGTCATGAGAAGATAATTATCATTTAGTATCATGTGCAAATGCCTTTCAGCACATATGTCTAAGTTTTGCTTAAATCCAAGAAGTCAGATATATGTATAAAAATGCAGGAACAAGTAACATGCAATCCTCGATTCTTTATTATCTTTACTTTTCTATCAGGCTAGTGTAATAGTCTATTTTATGAAAGTTGAGTGAAACTGCTGCTGTTATGAATATCAACCCTTCTGTTTATGTTTAAAAAACCAGTTAAATTGATGATGGAGATTGGACTGAGATGCATATGGGCAGCTTGTGCTCCAGAGAAAAGAGAAATTATAAAACAAACAGTTGCCTCGTCTAAAGGTATTCCCCATTCACCATTCCTTGAATGGACTTTGTCATATTTGATTGAGACTTATAATCCAATCTTACAAACTGTCTCTTACAACCCCGAGATGATTTCCAATTGGTCAGCTTGCTATGGGTCCTATCTGTCTAATTGCGAGTTGTCATGTCGAGGTTATTAGAGAAAGTTTGTAAGATTGTGTTTTGAGTTAATTTTTATTGTAATATAAATTTTTGATAAAGATCTTGTTATTACCTTGGTTATTTGATAAACTAATGAGTAATGAGATAACTTTAAGTAAGAGTGAAGCATCTATTAATTTCTGTAAGCAACAGATTGAGTTAAATTGTGGGGGTGTAACTGTAAAAAATGAAAACTACAAATCATGGGTTGTAATTGTAAAAATTGAAAACTAGAGTGAACAATATGGATATTTGCGGATACAGGTATCTGCGGGTCCACCTGTACCCGCATAAGGTAGGATATAGGTCCAAAATCTTAGACCTGTTTAAAACAGATCTGTTTTGAGTTGTACACGTTGCGCTTGTCTCATACTCATCAAGTCCGCCTGTTTTGCCAAGTTTAGATTGATTAAATATTAAACCACCATTTTATTCCAAAAGTATCAATTTTATTAGAGTTTCATTCACTTTTAAAATTGAAAGTCTATTTTATCCGTTCCCATCACTTACCAAGTTAAAAAATTATACCTTTATTTTTGTATAAAACATTAAAATAGGAGAATAGTTTCCACCTAATTTATTATTTATTTATGAATTTTATTTTAATTATTTTTAAAGGAAAAGACTTAAATTTACCAAAATTCATTTTTAATTTAATTGTTTTTTTTGTGTTTACTTAAATGTCTGCTTAAATGTGTTATATAGGTGTGTAATTCTTCCTAGAGGAATATAATTATAAGTTCAATGTTGATTTTATAGATTTAAATATTTATTGCGTGAAGGATTTAAGAAATTTGTTAAGATAGTAAATAATGAAAGTAAAATAACCTTTTAATTTTAAAATTGAAGTCATAACATATCATTTACCACAAATGTGTTTTTAATACTCTTAAAACGAAATGAGTAAATGTAATATTAATCGATCTTACATGGGTAAATGAAATAGATCAAATAAAAACAATCTATTAGTTAAGTTCAAATATAAACGGAAGTGTGAGCTTGGTGTGAGTAATTAAATTTAAAACTGACACGTCACGGGAGGTGTGCAATAATAAATTAATAATCCTTAAAATTAACAAAAACTAAAAAAGAAAAAAATTAAAAGACCATAAAACCCTCTCCAACGCACGCAGGCAGACGCCCATCACCCGCCTCCCAACGCCCCCTACCCATTCCACTCTGTCGCGCTGCGCAGGGCAGCCCACCTTGTCCTGCGAGACCACCGCCGCATCCCCCTCCCTCACCCCGCGCGACAGCCGCATACCCCATCCCCGCGCCTTCTTCTTTACAGCTGGTGTCATTGACCGAAAACACGCTGCTCAATTATTTCTTAGTCGGCATTATCTGAATTTCTGGTATGAATTTAATTTCGGTTTTCTAATTCTTTTATCCTTTTTTTCAAATTGTAAGTGACAGACACATATCTATTTTTTCTTAAAGAGTTTGAGTTTGGTCCCAAGTGTTTGATACAATGCCTTTTAAAAAAAATATATAAATTTTATAATTTTTAATTCTCTGGAGTTCAACTCAACCATGTTTTCATAAATGCTCTTTTTGTAGTTTGGGTAGTGTATTCTAATTGTTCGATTAAATGACGAAATGAAACACTTGCTGTTTCTTTTATAGAAGTGTGATTCAGTTGTGTGGTTTTGATTGTCCCCAATTTTGTTCCTCACATTTTAGGAGTCATTCTATACATAAATTTTTGGGCCTTTTTTTTTTAAAATTATTTTTATTTTTAAAACGCTTGCATATGTGAAGAAAAACTTAGACACATATAAAATATAAACTCAACAATTTTATGTCATTAATAAATATATTTAAGAAATAGAACTTAAAGCCAATTTGAAGGTTCATCTATACAAATGTCTGAAGTTTAGCATGAGCTATGATTTGATTTAAAACTTGAAAATATACGTATATATATCTGACAAATTAAAGTTCTCTCGATTTAAAGAAACAAATTTAAGAGATAAAATAAATTTGTTTGAAAATTATTTTGCTCTTTTTCTTTTTCCTGAAAATGTCGAGGGAATTCTGCATTTTACATGTAATATCATTTTTTTTTTTACCTAAACAAAACTAAGCTTAATTTGTTTTTTCAAGGAGGCTAACCCTGGCGGGCCTGGCTACAACCTTGATTAGCCTCCTTATGTTCTTCCATTTCCAGTTAATAATATATTTCCTTGTGTATAACTACTTTTATTTCTTAGTTTTTCACGATTCAGATGTGATGTTCCATCTTGTAAAAACTGTTATTCCAGTATTGTAATTGGGATTTTACATCTGGATAGAATAGCAAACCCTTTGTTTTATCAATATATGTAAACAATTTTTAAAATTTCCAGTGAAGAAATTCTTCAAGATCCACTACCAGGCCTTAATAAGTAAAAAGGCCTTATCCTATTTTACGCATTGCTGCTGGAGTGAAGAAATTGGTATAGACAATTCTGTTTTGTGATTTTCTCCCTGTTTGGTTCTCTATAGATGGTCTCAGCCGGGGAAGAATTGTCTCAAAATAATTTTGCATTTATGGAGCTTGCGATACAACAGGTAATGCCTAGAGCTTCCAAGAATATAAAGTTAGACCAAGGAAATTTGGAGCTCAACATCTTTCTACTGATTTTTCTTTCGTGTTGTTACATATGCTATATATTGTATGTTGAACATTATGCTTCTATGGACCTTTGATGATTTAGCTGGAGACATTGCAGTTATTTGATTGGATTGAACTAGAAAATAGATATAGAACTTGTCATGTAATTTGCATAGTGTATAGATGTTTGGTATACCTATAGAAGTTCTAGGGTGCTATGAGATCTTTTGCAAATTCCTTTGGGTGGGTTTTACTGATTCTTTTTGAGAAAATTGGTCAAATGGTCAAGTGTCTTTTGTTTAAATTTTCTAGCCCATTGCACAATTAAATTGTAATTAGTCGTTATTTGTGCTTTTTGTGTGGTTATACTTGTGCCTTTGGTTGTCTTCAATTTACTTGCCGTTCACATGAGGGAGCATGTCAAAGCTTGTTGGCTTTTTCCTTTCAACTTAATTTTGGGTGGAATAGTAACTTGAAAGTTTGTAAACAGTGATGAGGATAACTTATTACAGCTTGGGAAGGTCGAAGCTAGGTTTATATTTAGATGTGTGTGCACTGCCAATTGGAAAACTATAATAGTTGCAGTTGACTAGAAATCCATGTATAGTGCCAAACTGTGTGTGGATGCATTATTTGTGGCTGTTACTAATTAGTGTCCATTCAATGGTTGCTGTATGCTGCTGAAGTTTAGTTAAATGAATTCTTTTTCTGCTGAAAGTAACTTAAATATCATGTTCATATTACTTTGCATATTTAGCTTAGTTGTTATTTTGGTCTTTCCTTGAAATTTCTTTTTTCGCTTGGTATTTAACTTGTTTCTATTTAACTGATGGCCGCTTTCTCATATGGCAGGCAAAGCTTGCCTTGGACTGCCTTGAAGTGCCAGTTGGGTAAAATGATAAATTTCTTTTCAATTATTCTCCTATCATGCTCTACTTTGAGGATCTTTATATTATTGTTGAAGTGCAAGTTCCCACATCTACTGCTTCTATTGAATAACTTGACTTATATATAGCTTTTCGGAATCATGATAGTTTATAACTGGCATGTGTATTCCTAGGATTTGAAATTATCCTTTTCCCCTATTTCATTGCATCTTTTACCTAGGACTCATTTTGCTGTGTTAATGCATATTTTCACACCAACGAGATGTACGTAAGCCTTTAAGGAAGTTTACGCAAATGATCTATGGAAGACTGAGAAACATAGGTTAAAAAAAAGTATTAAAGAAAATAAAATGCGAAAAAGTAATTAACGAAATAAATAAGAGCAGTTTTTAAAGTGGTTCGGATGCAATAAGCAATTTTTACGTCCACTGTTATCTTATTGATGTGTTTACAATAAAAGACGTTTGATTCTAAAGGGAGAAAGTGCTTTGTAGCTCTTGAGAAAACAAAAGTCTGGATCCTTGATATGGGGTGGGAACCCCCTATTTATAGTGTTCCGAGGGTAATCTTTGGTGTGAAGTAATCCACATGCAATTGGACATGTGACGTTGTGCTGATTGGTTTATAGATGAAGTAATCCACATGTGAGTTGACATGTGGCTTGGAGGACAACTTGCAGTCTTAAAGGTGAAGTACTTCACATGCAGATTGACATGTGGTCTTGGAGAGGTAACTGGTTTTCTTTCCTTTGAAGCTTCACATGACTTCTAAAAGAAGTGTCTTCCCAGGGAGCTGACACGTGTTCTGGTGACAAGGCATCTTTGATGACACGTGGTGAGGATTCAACTTGCATGCTTTTACCACCTAATAATTACCCCTCAGTTTTTGGAGTTCGAATTCGAGCTTCAAAATCTCAACACTTTTTGGGATTGCAAACTGTCTTCTCGAGTTGGTGTTGTTGGTAGTCGTGACTTGTCTTCGTGAGCTGGTGTTGTTGGTTGTCGCGAACTGTCTTTGCGAGCTGGTGTTGTTGGTTGTTGCAAATTGTCTTTGCGAGCTGCAAAAATATATTATCCCCTTTTTTTGCACGTGTATTTGGGTTCGCAATCCCATAAGGCCTTGAGTTTTTGAAGCTCGAATACGAACTCCAAAAATTGGGGGTAATTGTTGGGTGGTAAAAGCATGCAAACTGAATCATCACCACGTGTCCCCCAAAGTGTCTTGTCATCAGGACGCGTGTCAGCTCCTTGGGAAGACACTTCTTTTAGAAGTCATGTGAAGCTTCAAAGGAAAGAAAACCAGTCACCTCTCCAAGACCACATGTCAATCTGCATGTGAAGTACTTCACCTTTAAAAGTACGAGTTGTCCTCCAAGCCACATGTCAACTCACATGTGGATTACTTCACCGATAAACCAATCAGCATAGCGTCACATGTCCAATTGCATGTGGATTACTTCACACCAAAGATTATCCACGGTAGGGGTGTTCATAACCTTGGTTAACCGCATTTTTAAACCGAGCTGGTTTTTCAGTTAAGGAATTTTCTTGAACCGAAATCGAACCGGTTAAGAGGAAAACCAGTTGATCGGTTTTGAACTGATTTTCCCTTTAACTTATTTTTGATTTTGTTTAATTTTGTTTTCAACTTCCATATGAATATGTTCCCCACCTTACTTGGTCTGAATCTCACACTAAATTTTAAAATCTGTGTTTGTGTGTAAACAAAAAAAAAGTGGAGAAATGCGTAAAGGGTGAAGAGCAAAGAGAAATAGATTTGGGGATTTAAGGTTTTTTAATTTTAAAGTGAAAACCGGTTCCAGTTAACCGGTTTTATGAATTATTTAAACCGATAATCAAAGCAAAAATTCGGTTTATGTATTTTCTTGAATCGAAACCGAACCGGTTCCGGAAAATCGGTTCGGTTACTAGTTTGTTCGCTTTTTGCATTTTTTTGAATGCCCCTGACCCTCGGAACACTATAAATGGGGGGTTCCCACCCCATATCAAGGATCCAAACTTTCATTTTCTCAAGAGCTACAAAACACTTTCTCTCTTTAGAGTCAAATACCTTTTGAGTAATGCTACAATTACCCAAGGATGCGCACCGACTGACGTGGCGCAATCCTGACCGTTGATTAATATTAATTCATAATTAATCAATAGTCAGGATTTCGTCACGTCATTCGGTGCACATCTTTCGGTAACTATATTATTTTCCATACCTTTTTGTTGTAAACACATCAATAAGATAACAGTAAACGTAGGAATTGCTTATTGCATCCGAACCACTTTAAAAACTGGTCTTGCTTATTTCGTTAATTATTGTTTCTCATTTCATTTTTTTTAATACTTCTTTTTAACCTATGGGTTCAGCATCATATTTGTCATTTCTTGGTCTTCCATAGACCTTTTGCGTAAACTTCTTTGAAGGCTTATGTACGTCTCGTTGGTATGAAAATATGCATCAACATTCTACAAGAAGCTTGACTATTGCAAGTTCATATTTTTGTAAACTTGCACTGCTTCAAGGATATGTTTGCCGAAAATATATTCCACAAATTATATGCCTATAGTTAAGGTAGATTTTAATCTTTTCTAGATTTCTATGTCAATACAGTGCATGATGTGATTGAAGTTTAACTGACAGATGAAGTTTTATTCTATAGGATCCTAAAATCTTAGTCTTGTAGATTGAACTGGGATATACCATGTACTGAGTTTTTCATGCAAGCTATATATATATTTTTGTTCCTCAATACTGCAATAGTACAAGAATTACTATTTCTTATTTGAATTATTTGGTTAATAGGCCTTGAAAATGTTCATTCTATGTTATTACTGTATTTTTTCCACCAGAAAAGATTAAATGGAGCTGACCAAGCCTAGTCCAGATAAAACTAATTTTAACTTTGCAGAGGTTGGAACTGTCTTTGCAGTTCACTGCTTGTGTTGAGTTAACTGTCCAACCCTAAAGCCAAACTGCAAGCCTGAGTGGAGTTACTTCAACCTGTTAGTGCTTGTGATGTCTTTTATACAGCTTTAACAGTGTTTGTATTGATCCGATTTTCAGTTGGCTTTTACCCTGGGGCTTGTGGTGAGCGTTGCATGAATTCTATTTTGAAGTTCAGTGTCCGGCTTTTGATGCGATGATTGAATTCTAGGACATGCTTGAATAAAAACATGTTTATAAAGATTATTTCAAGCAATTATCACTATTGTATCAACCCAAGTGGGTGTTGACACAAAGCCTAACCTTTCTCTTTTTCCTTATAAATGTAGAGGAAAAGGAAAATAAAAAAGATTGTTTTGCTTAATGTCAGATTATGATCATTGGGTGCTGTTTTTCCTCATTCAGACTATTTTCATTGACTAGATGTGTGATTCTGGATGATGGAAACGTCATTGCTACAGGTCGAAATCGAACTACTGAGAAAAGAAATGTGAGTTCATCAATATGTTGTTTCATTAAACTTTCCTATTTTCTTGTATCTGTATTCTTTGATTGGTTTTTCTAGTTGGCAGCTCTTCGTTTTCTTTCTAGCATGTTGGACTTGCACATGCTCAGCATTTCAAATTGTATATTGATGAAAAAAGTTGCAGATTTTTCTTTATGTGTAAATTTTGGTTTTAGTGAGCCTTTATTTTAATCCTAGTTTAAGCGTTTCCACAGGCCATTTGTACCACTGGAGAGGTCTCCACGTTACACAATGTTTGTGAGCTAACTAAATGGGTTTTTACTTAAAGTTGTTTGCTGTAACTAGACTTTCTGGCCTATTTGCTACGTGGTTGGGCAGTTAATGACTGATGTAGCTTTCTTGGTTTATTTCTTGTTTATAGGAAAAAAGAAATAAACTTGTGCACTTATAAACTTTCTCTTTCTCATTGTGCCATGGTCAAGAAAGACATGTTTTAAATAGTTACTTTGAAAGAACAAATGAGGATTTCATCTGAATATTGCTTTTGATTTGCAAGCCTTTTTACTTCTTATGAGTTGCCACTATATTTTGTTGCAGGCTAGTAGACATGCAGAGATGGAAGCTATTGATATTCTTCTTGACCAGTGGCAGAAACAGGGACTTTCACAGTTGGAGGTTGCCAAAAAATTCTCAAAATGCTGTCTTTATGTAACATGTGAACCTTGCATTATGTGTGCTTCAGCTCTATCAATTCTTGGTATATTTATGCTCTTTTCATCATAATAGTCTGTTGAAAGCTAATTTCCTTTTTTTTTTTTTTTTTTATATGATGACTAGATGTTATACACCCCATCTTTTCAGGTATAAAGGAAGTATATTATGGTTGCGCAAATGAGAAATTTGGAGGGTGTGGGTCAATACTATCACTGCATTTGAGTTGCTCTCAGCCGAATATTAGGTTTATTTCTCAACCAAAGACTTTAAAAATTTTTCTTACTAATTTTGTTTCCTTCAAACATCTGCTCATGACATAATTTGTTACAGATAGATATGTGCAACTGCTTTTGAAATTTTTTCTGTGGGTTCTCATGCAATTTATTTCTTATCTTCTACTGGGAATCATTTCATCATACTCAAGCAGTGGACAATTTTATTAGGAGTGCATTTTGGGAGTGGAATTTATTTTTTTATACTTTTCACAGGAAAATAACATTGCAAGAACTCTTTCATTTTAGATTCAATAAATAATGTTAATGTTAATAAAAGTTTGGTTTTGGGTGCGGGTTACTAGGATCTTTACTCTTGTAGTTTGAAAATCTTGTAAGTTTATGATACAGTCTTAGATTCAGGTTTGGTTGATGTCTGCTGCTTATGAACGGGAGGATGCAAAGTTTTCATTTGCACCTATAAATAGGCAAGTTGGATATCTGCGATTTAAAAAAGGATGGCCATGGATGCTCCTTAGAATTACTTTTCTCCTTTGCTGTTTTTTCTTTTTTTCCCTATTATGGCCTTATAAAATACATTTGAAAGTTGTCTTTCTTTCTTTTATTTGTTTTTTGGTTAGCAATACAAAACAATCTAAAGTGTTTTTTACAATGTTTACTGAGGAGCTCTTAATATTTAAAATTACAAAACTAGTATCATCTTAAATATGGGGTAATAGCTACTCAACTGTTTTTTTCAAAGCTTAAATTTTATTTCTAGGTCTTGAACTATAAGATTAAGCTTTAGGTCAAGCAATAATTTAGCATCTTACCAGAGCAAGTTGACTAAATGATCTTGTGTCTGAATCTCTCCATTGATTATTTAAGTTATAATAAATTGGGTTGGTGTTGTGGTTGTATTCAGTCCATGTGCCTTGCACGTGAAGGAGCATGTTAGAGTTTATATAATATTGACGAGTCCTTAGCTATAATCTTAAGCTTTGGATCAATCAATAATTACTAGTACAGCCGCTAAGCTACTGTGAATTTGAAATCAATTGTCTTGTCTTGTTCTTGGGCAACGAAGAAAATTAGCCAACTAGGTCACTAATGCTTTTTGGAAAATTAAATGATGACAGAAATGTGTTATGATCATATAAATTTCCACATTCTTGCTTTTTAGATAAAAATAAAAAAGGGAAAACAATCGTACCATGTCAACATGTTAAATTGCCTTGTCTTTTGAAGTTTGAGTAACATTTTACATGTCTTTTCAAAGTCGAAAGTAACATTTTTTTTAATTCATTGAGCTCAGCTTGTTAAACATGTGTTACCAATTTTGTAGATTCATTTAGCTTTGATTTTATTTTGTTATTATGTGTTGAGTTGTACAAAGATATATTAGGATGAGAATCTGTAAAATAGGAAATTAGTTTATTGTGTTCCCAATTATAGTTTATTGTAATAGTATATATAGATGTATTTTGTTCACCAATATATGATAAGCAATACACAAGAATCCTCTCTAGTTCCCTTGATTGAACATGCAATTTGATCAGCAATACACAAGATCAGAGTGATTAGCATGAACAACATTGGTGGCCCGAGTAGGTTGTCCGTGCAATTTGTAGCATTTCTCCTTGGTATGTCCTCACTGATTACAGTAACTACACTTTGGTCGACCTCCCTTGCCACCATGATCTCCCTGTTCTCCTTTAGTAGTATTTTGAGACTGAGAAGCCAAAACGGCAGAGTCAACAAAGAGAGATCCTGTCACAACACTAGGAGAGGAAATATGAAGTAATCGAGCGAGCACTTCATCGAGAGAAGGCACAGTAGCACTAGCCAGAGTCTGATCTCGTACTGGAGTAAGATTAGGGCTAATAGCTGCTAGAGTTAGAACCATGAAAAACTTGTCTAGTTGTGCCAGATCTTTTGCTGCAGACTTACTCGTGGGCAGTAATAAGTTAAATTATGTTTTAAGAGAGGCCATCTTGCCAAGGAATTCTGACATGCTCATATCTTGCTGTTTTAGATTAACTATGTTTGATACAACAGAATACAGTCGTTGGATATCATTATTATAAAGCAATTTGGCCTGACTGTATACCTTAACACAGGTTTTGTAAGTTTTATTAATAGGATGAAGTTGAGAGTCAATTGTTTGCCATAATAGACTACATAACAAATTATCAGTTTTAACGAGCTAGGATCATCAGTTTTTACATCTTCAACCTTAGTGGTCAAGTGATCCTCCAGACCTTGTCTCGTACACCACAATTCGACAGAGGCCGTTCATGAGGAATAATTAGCACTCTCTATTAATTTATCAGTTGTGATTGGAGGGAGAGATAAAAAAGAAAAAGAACCTGATTTAGAGTTGGATCCTTCAGAAGATACCATCACAAGATAAATTAAACAGGTCTGAACTGGAAGGAAAAATCGGTGACAGTGACGGGGTGTCTAGCATCGGACGGCAACGGAACTCTAGGGTTTTGTTCGCGGGCATCGTTTGAGTTCACTTGTGTCAATAGTGAGGTGTTGCGCTCGTTGGAGATGGAGATCGGTGAAGGAAGTTGCCAGAAAATCGAGTGGCACATGGAGGTGCATGTGGCGGTGAACGGTTATGCACTTTTGAGGTTTTGCCGACGAGAAAGAGAAGTTTAGGCTAGTGTTGTTGGATTTTTGATCTGTCACTAGAAAGAGGGTAGTTTGAGCTTCGCTGAAAAAGGTCACTGGAAAATACACAGTTAGGATTTCTGATTTCCCTATGTCGTATAGCTTACTTTTTGGCAACGTTGTTTTAAGGTTGTCTGTTGTAATAGCCAATTAAATATTAGTTATACTCAAGTGAGAACTGAGAAGAGCTGCCAAGTGGAAGCAGCCAAGGAATCCAAGCTAATCCAATTCTCTGCTTTCTTTTTGTCTATATTTTCTCAACACATTCTTGTCCATGTTAATATCATAAAGACAAGTTTGGTGGGGCTCTAACGTAGGTTTTAATTTGATTTGGATAATTGAAAAACAATCGTTGTTAGCTGACATCATCTGTTTCCAGTGGAAAACATAACAAGAGATTATATGAACTAGAAATGTCAGTACTGAAAAATGATACTTTGAATGATAAATTATGTTTTTCCGTTTTTCCTCTCCAATTGCCAAGTCTCCATCTCCTCCAAATTTTGGTTGTGGTAGTACATATTGTTAGAACTTTGCTGAATTGCCGCCTTAAATTTGTTGGTACAAATTTGTCACAGTTGAGTTATTTCATTTTTCTTGTGGTTGGTGGAGTATTCTAACTCAAAAATTACGGTTTGTTCTTTGCTTAGACAAGCTATTTTTTTGTAAAATTACTAGTTATGTTTGCAGCCACGAAGTTGTATACTCGTGTATTTTAGAGTGTTATAAGATGGAAATCAAGAATTGCTTGTGCATATTAAATTTATAGTCTGTCCTTTTTCCTGGTTCCTTTTATTATTTTTAATTAGATGCATCTTCAATTCAACATGCAACACATAATGAGATGACTTTTTTTTTTTCATTAATATAATTACTTTGGTAGTGGTGAAGTCCCGCGACGGAAAGGTTTCAAATGTACTGGAGGTATAATGGCATCAGAAGCAGTCTCCCTTTTCAGAAATTTCTATGAACAAGGGAATCCAAACGGTAGGTAGTTTTATCTTCCTAATCCAAGCTCTTTGTATGACAGCATCAAGAGAGATGCTATTTTTCTCCCTCTTCGCATATGGAAGAGAGAGAGAGAGAGAGAGAGATTCAGAGAACATTAATAGAAGAAGTTCACTTAGAAATACTTTTAAAACAAAAACAATGAAATCTATTCTGACTTAAAAGGAAAAAACTAATATTGCTTTCATTTAATCCTTTCTTTATATGACTCTGGCTTATTTTTGATGTTTGGTGTAATTTAGCTCCAAAGCCACACAGACCTCTTGTTCACCAGGCAATGCAATGAATATATTGGTGAGGTTAGTTATTTCCACTAATAATTTGTTTTAGTATGGTTTTGTAGTTTCTAGTTCGTTTGCTTGTTATCATGAAGTCCATGATTTGAGATAATATATTAAAATAACTGGGATAATTTACAAAAGGAATGTAGATAAAGGCTTGGAAAAGCACTAGATTTTGACTATATACAGTAATTAACTGACCATTGTTTGGGAAATTTCAGGAAAGTAGCAAAAAACTTAATATTTTATTTTCAGTTTGTTTTTGTAAAGTATTTGCTATTTTTATTTTATTTTCTGAATTCCGTTTATTACCATTTGAACTCAGGCATGTGATGGAGTTGAGGGAATAGAGAGATATCTACAAGAAAAAAATTAGTCTAGTTGAAGTGAGGGACTAGGAAAAGAATTTGAAATAGGTGGTTCAGAATTCCTCATTTCATTTGAAGTTTTAGAAAGATCCAATAGCAATTCCTTCGAGTATTATTGAAACTTAATTTGGGATAAATATGATTGGAGAAACCTTGGCACTTGTTGATGGCTGATTAGTAGAAATAAGTATAAAGATAAGTCCCAGCTATGGGTATTGTAATGTCTTGTTTACTGGTTTATTACAGAAGTTTTTGGCTGTATTATTAAGACATTATATATATATATATATATATACACAACTAAAAGCTTCTTTGAAAAAAAAAAAGATAGGATAGAAAACAATTTCAAACTGCATGAAGGAAGTTAACTTTTGTTTGAAGTTGCATGTAAAAAACTCTCAAGTAAGATAACAATCAGGGGAAGTAAAGCTAAGAATTGTCATCATCTGTCCCATAAAAGTTATACAACAGAGAGGAATAATGACAGGGATCATATTGATCATGGTGTGGAGTAGTAAGAAGCAATACATAAACAGTGAGAAGCAATATTTAATTTAATATAAGCATGGTGAGAAGTAGTGAGTAAGCCATACATAAACAGGGGAGTTTTAGTGAGGCTTGATACGCATCAGTAAACAAGTAGTGAAGAGTAAGAGGCATAATCGGAGAGAAGTAGTGAAGACTAAAGCATATGAGTATTTCTAAATGATTTTTTATATAATTGAAACTCTTTACTATAAAGAGTTTATCTATAAAAATAAGAGTTCAATAGATTTTTTATCTTTTAAATATAAATTAAAGAGTGAGTTTGATTCTTTACATCTAAAAAGTCAAATTTTATTTTTTATTTTAATTTTAATTAATAAATTACAAGTTTCTATGTATTTTATTTATTAATTATCTCTCATATTAAGTCATTTTCTTGAAAATTAAAAATATTTTCATTAAATTTAAAGAATTCATTGGTTTTAAATTTAATAAATATGTTTTTTATTTATATGAAAGATGTTATTTAAAATAAAGAGCACAATTGAAGATGCTCTAATAATTACTGTATCGATCGTCAACCCTATAGGGGGGATGCGCTTAATCATAACAGCGGGCCAAAAACTCGGGATCAAATTGGCACAGAAACCATTATATATCAATTGTAACTACAATACTTTGGTTATACATCAAACCAAACATTATAACGTTATTGATATGTATCAAAAAAAAAAGAAAAAAAAAAAAGAACTCTTATTTAAATATCAAGCAGATCACTACAGCAAAAATCACAACTACTGTTCAATATCAAGCAAATTACTACAGCACACCATTTTCATGTTAATCTAAGCATTACATATGGCAGGATCCATGTGAAGCATTCCGAGACTAATCCATGAACGGCGGCAGAGCCGTGTTGGACAACCGATTAAGCAATGAAACTTTAATCGTTACGGTGAATTTGCTTCTGTTTTGAAATATGGGTTATTTTGGCTACAACCAAAAAAATAATTTTTGAACCTCAATACTTAGCCAAAATATGGGTATTATAACCAACCCTAAGATTATGTAAAGTTATAAAACCATGTGTATACGCATCTAACATAAATTTTAAGTTAGAAAAGTCTAAATCAATTTAGAACGACGTACTTTATTGGATATAGCTAAACACATTAATTAGTGATATTAAGAGATCACGTAACGGAAAAACATACATTGAGATTAATAATATACGAATAAAACACATCATAAAAAGACGATATTTACGTGATTCAGCATAACTCGTCTACATATATGAATGAGAGAGAAATCAACTATAAATTCATTAACACGATATACAACACTATAAACTCGGTACATGATTAATTAGTGAAAACAAACCTAGTTTCTAATAATTCTCAACCAAATACTTAAGAGTAGAAAATATCTTAGTTTCTAATGATATTCTACCCATGGTGTCTAATAACCCTATATATTAAATACATTGTGTTCTCATATTCTCTCGTAATATTGAATTGATTCTTACCTCTATATTTATAAGTGATACATGTGATATTCTGCTCCTAATAAGAATCTTATTATATTCCTGATAAGACTCTCATAATTCTATTCATATTTACAATCGTATTTTTCTTTAAATAGTTTTCCTAAAGAAATGCAATATTACATGGAAATAAATAGGAAAATAAGTCATAATATCTCAACAAGTGACCTAAATAAACTAAAGATGTTTTTTGTAGATCACTTAACATGTTTTATTTTATGAGATAAGTCAAGTACAAACTTGTAAAAGCAATCTCCCCCCTTAAGAATGCTAGTTCTAACATTATTTAAAAGAAAAAATGCATTAATTGTCAATAGATAGTAGGGATTTAAACGAAAGGAGTTGAGAAGATCTCATGCATTGAATTGGTATCCAATCCCCAAGAAAAAATAAATAAAATAAAAAGTGCTTTCGATTCAGAGAAGACAAAGAAACTCATTACTTTACGAACTCTCATGGAAAAAATCATATAAATCCTTTGTGAATAAGATGATCCAAATTCAATATAAACTTAAATGGAAGACTATGAGCATGACATAACAATGCTATTATATATTTGATACTTTAGTGGTACGAACGATTGAATACATATTGTATATATAAACTTAGAAAATTTTAACAAAAGAGGTGAGAGTTGCTTGGGGGAGTCCAAGTGATACCGCAATATATGAACAACCTGTATGCTTTAATTTCCTTGGAGAAAACCTTGGAACCATTTAGCAGAGAGTTTGGGGATACGGGTGAGATTACTCTTGTAATCAACAAAATAAAGTCCGAACCTTGGAATCGACCCCTCTAACCACTCAATATCATCAGCTGCAGTCCAGTGAAAATACCCTTTCACGTTTACTCCTCTCCTGCATCATTAAAACATGTTTAAGTATTAGATCAAAGCATCTCTAAAAACCATCTTCAAAGCTCTAATAACTCACTGAATTGCTTTATTGATTCGATATAAATGTTGACGAATGAAGCTAATCCGAAATGGATCGTTTAGTGAAACAGTAAGTGGGAGGCTATCATTCCGTTTCTCAGCAACCCCTGCACAGAAAAAGTAACCAAGGTTTTTAAATCTGTTAAAATAAATTTAATACCATAAAATGACTTTAGAAATTAACGAAATGAAAACAATAATAGCTCCAATTACCATTCTCAGTAATGTAAATTATTGGCTTTTGGTAATTTTCATGCATAAATACTAAAATTTTCTCTAGCCCAACTGGATAAATGTAAATGAAAATGCTTCCTTCAGCCTGAAAATGTTAACTAGTAATTAGCTCATAAACAAGAAGATTAAAGAGTTCTATATATATAAAGTGAAAAGAAGGATTTTTAGTGGTCATATAACATACCTTTGGGCCAATAAAAGATCCATTTTTTGACGTTGATTCAGTTGTGAATCGGTCGGCAATAGCGCTGATTGGTGGAGCTTGGAAATCAATGGGGATGTTCTTGGCATACCTTGTGGTATAATAATTGACACCAATGAAGTCAAAAGATCCCTTCACCAACTTTTTCTCTTCAATGCTGAAACTGGGTAGCCTTTGCTTCACTATTTGCTTCATGATTTGAGGATATTCTCCAAATACGAGTGGCTCCATATACCTAGATGGGTATTTGATATATTAAGACAAAAAAAAAAAAAAAAAAATTAATCTGCAGATTAGTGCATGGTAAGAAATTAAATTTACTAACCATCCTAAATCAAAGTCCATTGCTCTTTTTGCTGCCAATTTATCATCCTCCGAGTCTGAATAAGGTTCATAATATTGTCCCACAAGGGAGAGTCCAATTTTTCCTAATTGTTTTGTTTGGTACTTGTTTCTGTACAGTTTGACAGCCGTTGCATGGGCGAGTAGAAGGTTGTGGGTTACAATATAAGGTTCTGTGGCTGAATTACCTTCTGAACATAATTTTCTATCTGAGCATCTACATGGTGGAGTTATCCCCAAGTCATGACCAAATTTTGCTATAACCAGTGGCTCATTGATTGTAATCCAATTTTTAACTCTATCTCCAAATGTCTTAAAGCATATTTCAGAATAGTCCCTGAAATCATCACTGAAAGAAAAATCTAAATTATATTAAGCTTTTATATATACCTTTGAACAATTAATTTTAATCAATGTTAAAGATGCTTACACAAAGGTGCGACTTAAGGGGCCACCATATTTTTCTTGTAAGCTTTGCGGTGAATCAAAGTGGAACATAGTCACAAAAGGTGTGATGCCTAGAATTGTTTTTATTTAAAATAGGAAATATATATATATATATGAGTTATTTTCTGTCAATAAACAAAAGAAGAAATATTAGAAATAAATTGATGCTTTATTAGCTCTCTTACCATTTTTAATTAATTCGTCAATGAGACTGTTGTAGTGATTGATCCCCTCTTGATTTACTCCACCACTCAACGATCCATCTACGTAGAGAAAAAATGTTAGATAATTTTTGTATTATTCTAGTGCGTTACGTTTACGCATATTACCAAAATTGAAGTTTGATGAAAAAATATTTACTAGGTAGAATCCTGGTCCAAGAAATGGAAAATCTATAATTATTTACTCCAAGCTCCTCTATCATCTTCACATCTTCCTGCAATCAAATTAAAACCATTATTAACAAGGCAGCTTGAAGAGAAAGAAATTAATGTGTTTCCTCGAATATATACCTTGTAGCGTCTATATGAATCAATGGCATCTAAGGTACTACCATCTGGAATTTTTTCTGCAAACAAAGTAATAATTAAAGAAGAACGAAAGCATTATATGAGTATGAGAAATTAATAATACTGGAGAAAAGTGGTATGCGTAAACCTGGGTGTTTCTCAACGAGGTGATCCCAAACGCTTGGTCCTCTGCCTCCAATTTTTGCTGATCCTTCTATCTGCACCAATGTAAACAGAATATATTCATATAAGCAATGACGGAGCCAAGATTTCAAGTGAGGGGCGACGAAATTCAAAAGATTAATATTTTTCAAAATATATTCATATAAGCATATTCAAATTGGTGAATTTTGTAGATACAAACATCGTCCTACCTGGGCAGCAGCAGTTGCAACACCAAATGCGAAATCAGTCGCAAAGTCAGATCTCTTAAGATTGGTTGCATTGGGATCGAAGCCACTTATTCCATCCAAATTCGATACTAATCCCACCTCTTTCGACAAATAATGGAAGATTAAAGTTACAATATGGAAAATAGAAGAAATAAGTGACACAGCTCATGATTTAGGTTTAAAGATGCAACAAACCTTGAACAACCTGTGCATGCAAGCATGCAAATAAAGCGCAAGTAGCAAAGATTTGGAGTAGAGTTGATGAAGATGGTAGAGATGCCATGGTTCCTACTAAATAATAAACTCGTAATTGAAAAGCTGATTCAAAGAAAAGAGGTACGTTTGCAAGTTGGATTTAATTCTTGGAGTTTTTAGTGCATATAAATAGTTAACCAAATCTACTATGCAGTTGATTTTGTTACTGTTACTGTTTTCGGTTTCACTTTCAGTGGATGCTATAATACCATATAAATGTTATATTTTTCGAACCGTACATATACCAATTTGTTCTCTAAGTTTAGTAGTTTTGATATGGGTAACATTTAACAGTTAGCTACTTAGTAGCGAAGTGATGCATAATCTGAGTATCCTCTATTTTCTAATTTTTTTTTCAAGTTTAACCTTAATTAAATTTACTATAAAGGATGATATAGGTTTTAAGTGCAGAACAAACCTCCTTTATCTTTTGTTCTTTTTCTTCTATTAATTAGATGTTCGCATAAATCTTAACTCAAATGTTTCATATCCATTGAAAATTCTTTTTTTTTTTTTTTTAAACGAATTTATGAGTTTCACTTCTTTATTAGAATTTAGAATGCTTGCTTTAGTGTTCATATTTGTAAAATGTGAAACATTTGTACATGTGTTGTTTTGTCTTGCATCATTCTCCTAATAACGTGTGAATTTTATTTTTTTTAATAAAATACCTGTTGTAAAATTAGTCTATCTCACCACTTACTCGGAGTTAATATAAGAGAGAAAACTATAACACGATCACACACTAATTTTATGTGGTTCACCAAAGAAAAAATAGATGACATAAGTTTAAACCGAATAACCCAAGCCCCCACTCTTAATTAGCTCGCACACTCGATCCCTCAGAGAAATGCTCTCTCTCACATGCCACTTGATAGCAATTGGGAATTTGGAGGAATTAGTTGGCTGTAGATTTTGGAAAGTGGTCGCTATAGCGAAAAAATTCAATTCTCGCTATTCTATTCCCCTTGTTGAGCGAAGGTTTTCGCTACCAAATTCCATAAGCAAAATTGTTGTACCGAATCCAGTTCACTGTAGTAAACAAAACTTTGTAAAGTGACAACAAAAGGTCACTGTTAAGGTTTTTTCAAGGCCTAACATCAAGAGCAAGATGGAAACATCCTAACGATTATATAAATGTAATTTTTAGCCCCAATTAATGACTAAGTCACAACACACAAGAGTGACATTAGAGTTAGAGTGTGGGGCAAGTGAGTAAGAATTGAGGCACAAGTTACCCATTCTCAAGATGGTGACACCACTAGGAAGATTTCTAGGATACTCCATTGATTACATGACGGTGTAATTAGGTGAAAGAGGTCGATTTTATTGTCTGGTTTCAGTGTATATGGGTTGGAGTTGAGTGAATATGTGTCCAGGAAGGTGTAAAAGGCTTGAAATAGGCTTAGAAATGCAAAACTGGCAAATTGATGAATTTTCGGCCAATAGTGCAAAAATTGGCAAGGAAAAAGGTGAAACTAAGACGAAAGAGACTCACTCTATAAACCTAAACTCTGATACCACTTGATCCATATTCAATAATTTAGAGTGAGTTAAATTAGTTTTGAACAATAACAATATTCAACTCGACACCAACTACTCCCCCAAATGATTCAGATCGGTAAACAACAATTACCATAACTTTACACAACACAACAGTCCATAATTGCTTCCAAACGACAATAACAAATGATAACACAACTAGCTCCAATCGGCAGACCAACAACACTTCAAATAACACAAACAAACACACAAAATACACAAGACAAAGTAAAGGCTGTAAGCATAACAATCCATGACTTAAACGCTATGCCACCAGCCAATGGAAACCACCAACAATCCTAGGCAAAAGATTGGATAAAGGAAGATGGATAAACACTCTTAAAGAGTTTCAATTCATGAATATTTGACAACCCTCTTTCATTTATATATGATCTACACTTGAGTGCCAAAATAGAAAGAGAAAAGATGAAAATACAAGGTAGCAATAACCTAATGGGACTTTGCAAACAAGAAGTAAAATTGTCTCCTAAAATTATTCAAATTCACTTTCACAACTAACCTAGGACTTTACCAAAGTGGAAAGAGACATGGAGTCGCCCAATGCTCTTATTCTTGTCTTTGCCAAAACGGGAAAGGTTTGTAGCCACCCATGTGTTTCTTTATCTCCTTGCATTAATGGCTCACATTGACTAGTTTATGAATTTCTTGGTCAATTTTGAAGGGAATGACTCCGAGTTATTAGATTGCACCCAAATACATTAATTCGGCATATTGGATCAAAGCATGACATACTTGTGTGTATTGGGCTACCTTGGATAAACTGTTCTTATCTCCTTCTTGGGTCGACTTGAGGATAGGCTTGGCATTAACTTCTTCTTTTAAGTTTGCTTGGGTCGAATTGTTACTAGAATCACAAATGACTTCTTCCATGGGTGTTGAATTCATGTTAGTATGCATATGATCTAATGAAAACTTTATACCAACTTAAATTGGGTTAGTTCAATTAGGATAAATAAAGTTGGACCTAAGCGCAATCTTAAAAAATTAGATAATTTGGATTGAAACCAGCTTAAGTTCAATAGTATTAGCATGTAGATGCCTATATAGGCATTTACTAATATGGACTGACAAAAACGTATTATGCCAAGTAAGAGAAACACAATAATTTTTTCGAGGAAATTATATTAAATAACCTTTTTTTTAGGTATAAATTGAGAATCAGCCTTTTCTAAAAATTAATTACAAAAAACAGTCCTTATAACAATTCCAAGTCACAAATACCCTTTGAATGTAAACCAACTTCTCATATACATTTTCTTAACTCTTTCTTTCAAAGAAATCTCTCCGTGTTCCTTTCACAAACTCCACAATGTAAGAGAAACCAAAAACCTAAACCAATTTAGATTAAGATTGAAAGCAAAACACAAACCTTTTTAAATTTAAGTTAATGTTGGGAATGTGACTGAACTTCGGATAATCGGTGCATGTAAATGCTAACACGGTTGTGCTATTTGAAGATTACTTTTAATTAGTTATGATATGGAGATTTGGGTATGAAGATAATTTAGGGTTGAAACTTTGACGATTTAGTTTAATTTGATAGAGGGTTTGGTTTTGTAAGTTGTCATTAGATGAAAACCTTCCGTTTTGTTGGTTTGTTTGGCAATGGTGGTAGAGTATAAAAAAAGGCCCAAAATGATGAATTGATATTGGCACTTGTTGGTCATATTGGGCATTGCCCGATAGGCAAATGGGTTATCGGTCCATATATGACTAAAGGAACGATAAGGGTTAATCGATTAATATCATCAATTGTTCAATACCAATTTATAGCCTCTTATTGGATTCTAGTAATTAATTATAAAAACTTAGTTACAAACAACAAGGAGTCTTAGGAATCTACGTATAAGTGAAACTTTGGAACTCTCTTACCTGTTTCAATCCGTTAATTGTAAAAACTTGTTACAAATAATGAGGAGTCCTCTATATATGCTTAGATGTCAAACTTTTTATGGAGGTCTTGATTTTTGCTCATAACATGGAATCTCTCAACTATCAAGGAGTCTATCAACAAAAATTGTTTTTAAGGGTGTGTTTGGTTCATAGAATATTGTATTATTGAGAATGTTATATCAATGAAAAGACAGATTATCTTAAAGATTATTGTAAATGTTTAGAGAAATGTGTTTAGTTAACTGGAATAAATTGGTGGGTATGTTATATAAATTACTAAATTGCCCTCCTTTTTAAATATTAATATAATATTTTATTATTATTATTTTTTTAATAATTTCTTTTAACCCCATATATTTCATATTTAGCTAAAACACCTTAGCAACAAAAAAAAAGTTTAAAACTTAACAAAAACACCCCCACCCACCCCAACCCCCTGTCGGCGGCCTGCCACCACCACCAACGGTGGCGACAGTGGAGATCTGGTCTTGAAAAGGCCAGGTATTTGGTTGTAAAACGACAGCTGTTTCACGGTCATATCTATAGCCGTTTCACATCTACATCTTTGGCTGTGAAATGGCCAAATCTGGCTGTTTCCAGCCATGGATCACATGGCTGAAAACAGCCTTAGCGGCGCACGACTAGCCAAATCCGATTTGTCGTGCGCCATTCCGTCACCACCAACAGTGGTGGCCAGATCTTGCCACCACCTTGAGTAATTTTTTTAAATTCTAGGGGTATTTATGTTCTAAAAATTTTGTATATAAGGATGAAATAGTTTATTAGTATTTTTGTAAATTGTTTTTAAAACAAGGGCATTATTGTCCTAATATTTATTAATAAGGGGTAAAATTGTAACAAAAATAAGATTACCAAGTAATCTTAAAATACCTAAGAAAATAGAGGTAATCAGATTACCTCTTATATTACCAACAATAACTGTTATTGGTTTTGAAAGATTATCAGAATCTTATATTACTTAACAACCAAACGTGATAATCAAGTAATATAAGATGACATTACCTAAGTAATCCCCTATTATCTCCAACCAAATACACCCTAAGGGTAAAAAAATAATAGACTAGAGTGATAGAAAAAATTAGGGGTGAGCGGTTCTGGGTACCTTGCATTTTTCAGAGGAACCGGAACTGCACAGTGTAGGTTCCCAAAAAAAGGAACCGGAACCTAAAATGCAGGTTCTGGTTCCTTTTCCGGGTACCCTGTAAAAAGTAAATTACCCCTATATTAGTTTAAAAAAAATGAAAAAATACCTTAAAAGTTTACAAATACACCCCTAACAAATTTTGATTACTCATTCATTTGTGTCCATTGTAACTCATAAATTCTCTAATCTGTAGGCAATACTTGAATTCAATCAATTCATCACAATTCAAACAAAATTCCTCAATCAAAACCAAAACACAAATAATTATTCATCACAATTCACATCAAATAACTTTACCAAAATCATTCAAACAAACAACAATATAGAAAGTTAGAAACTGTCACCAACTTCTTTGATTCTCCCACTACTAAATACTAATGTAGTAAATTTAATGTTATAAATTATTA